GAGGCGGGCGGCGTAGCGTTAAAATTCATGGTGCAATCTAGGAGCTCGCAATATGACATGAGATGATCCCTTCGGAGGACCCCCTGTGATCCGCTATTATCTGCTTTGTTAATCCCCAGCCGATTTCAAGGGACCCTTACAGGGTTTAAGGCGCAAACGTCCCTATAACTGCCAATAGATTGAACGACCCTGCTTGCTTCCCAGAGCTCCACGTTCACATCCATGTCGCACAGCAGCTGTTGCACCTCCGTCTTTCGAATCAACCGTAGGAACTCCTCCTCAGTCATAAAGAGCTCCTCACGAGGGGGGGTGTTGCGTTCAGAGGGCTATGCTCTTCAGCCTGTTTGGCGAACGAATGATGCCCATCTACGGCATGTGGCACTCGCAACCATGGCTCTTTCGCGAGGCCTACCACCGGGTCCTCATCTAAGCCCTCGGAAAAGGTCTGCGCAGACGCTCTCAAGGTCTCGCCTAGCCCGAGCGATCGCCCCATGACTTCAAAAAGACCTGACAGTTCCAAGAAAGGGTTTGGATGCAGAATCTAGGGTTTGGGAGTTCGGGTTCGCGTTCAAGAAACCCGACATGTGCTGTAGACAGTTCGGCACGTAGCTTCCAAAATGCTGTATGAGAGTTGTACCTCAAAACAGCCGAAATGTTTCAAAATGCTGCGTTTGGCAGCCGCTACACTTCCTAAACCGTAACCCTAAACCCTAAGCTCTTGCATGATGTTTTGAAATCAGGACCTTGATGCGATTTCCGGCTCCTCGCAGCCTCAACCTCCGGGATCCCAACATGGGTTTAGGGCTCAGTGTCCAAGGCTTTACAGGTTCGAGCTTGAGGTCGACGATTCAGGGTTTAAGTTTCAAGCTTTAGGGTAGGGGCGGGGGCGGCCAGGGATCTTAAACCCTTACTTAGCCCACACACTGTTCGACACGACAAACCTCTTGCGTCGCCAGCTGTACAAAATGGGCCAGCTGCTGCGTCATCCAGCCAGACTGGTGGTCCCTGGTGAACTTCTGCTGCCGATCGCTTGCTTTGAGGCCTGATTGTATCAGGGGTTAAGGGCTAGGAACTATCAAAAGACACGAGCGTAGCTACAACAGCTCCGCCTGCAACCACCCTCCGAAAAGACACCGCTGTAAAACCACGAGCCGGACTGCAGTTTTCTTATCACAGCCCCCACCCCTAAGTCCCGGGCCTAGGTTAGTTTCTTGGAGAAAGAAATCCCCGCTGAATCCTATCTCCCTGTAATGCCGACATATCCCTAAGGTCCCAAGGCCCCCATGCTGAGAAACTCCCCCATGCACACCCCTGCAGCCTTACGCTTTAGCCACGAAATCCCAAATCACAGTCTTTGAGGAACTCCAACCTCTCAGAGTAGCTTCCACGAAAATGGCCGTGATGATGTTGAAGAGACCGAAAGTCCTTCAAACGCGAGTTTCTCAAGAAGAAGTGCACTGAAAGAAACTTGGGGATGCAGAAAGTTCTTGGTCCTGACTAACAGGGAATATGCCAGAATCATGTTGGGAAACTTAAACCCTATGCGCCAAATGTCTATCGCGACATGTGTCCTGTAGACTATGTGCAGCCCCCAGAGAAACGAAAAAGAGACCGCTTGTTAATGCTTCTAAGAACGTTGTGTCGCAATACCCTTTGATTCCTACATCGGTATTTATAGCTTTAAACCCTCAACAGTCGAATTGAAATATCGAAAACTGAAGGTTTTCCTAAAACTCCAAGGACCCCAAACTCCAATTCTAAACCGCCCTCCACACACAAACGCACACTTACTTACACGTAGTTTCTGTTGAGTTGGCCGAAAGGCACCACGACCATGCCAAAGGCGTAAATCAAGTCGAAGCCCAATCCAAAGCCGTCGCTGAAGACCTGAAGGTAGAGGGCTTCGGCTGTAAGGTTTCTGTGCGACTTTTGTTGACGGTAGCGTTTCTTCACACCCGCTCACCTGGCAGAGAGACATAGGGTTGACGGTTAGCCGGCCATACCTGAAGCCTACGGAGAGGTTTTATGCACTAAAGAGCTGGTGTCCCGCGGTCACAACGGGGTCCTTGCCAGTCCCATGCCGAGATCGAAGGAATACCCGAAAAGATCCTAAGCCTTTATGGTAGCGCGCTTGCCTCACGCTCGAGACCCCCGGGAACTCATGCCAGTCGCTTCAAGCTCTCGTGTCAGACATCAGGATCTAAAATCCTGAGCCCTAAACTCTGAATGCGCACCCCGGCCGCTAGACCTAAACCATCTAAGCCGTACCTCCGCACTAAGTGCCGAGAGACCATCACCAAGCTCTGGCCAGGCTTTGTCGTGCAGTCGCCGAGAATGCAGCGGAACACCGAAAACATGCACCCCAAAACATCACCGCCTTGGATCACACAGGTTTGTTTAAAGAAAAAGGCAGTACCCGGCCGCACACCTCTTGAACTAAGCTGCAGGAATCACCAAAAAAAATCGACATACTGCTAAGCAGCCCAGGCGCAGTAGACTTGACCTTGCACCAAGTGGAAAGGGCACTCTTCCGAGTCCGGGTCCTTGAAACTTTTAGGGGATATGGTAGTTTTGGGTCTCTCAGGCCCAGGGTTGAGGGACCAGTGTGCGGTCCTCGAACATGTCGGGATCTCCATGACAACTGTCGGCTGTAAATCCCTTCAGCGTGGTACGGAGCACCACCGCCATGAAGTAGACCACCATGAAAAGCGTGAGCAACACCCAAAATAGCGGTCGCAGACTGATGAAGAAGCCTTCGTGGGGCAACCCAACATGCGCGAGGTCTGGGTTGCAGGTTAAGATTCAAAGCTTGGGATTGTGCCCGGGGATCCAAGGTTTAAGATGTAGGGATACACGACAAAGGTTCGGGGTTTCAAGGATGATCGCTACAGCTAACGGGAGGTTTTCTGAGCTTGTTGACCTCAAACAAGCGAAAACCCGTAGCCTGACACGATTGTCGCCAGCTCCTGCAGCAAAGGCATGCGAACCAGCTTCGCTAAGCGAGCCAGCCTCCGGAGGTTTGGGGCTAGGGCTAAGGCGGCTAAGGGAGAGCAAGGCTTCTTCAGTTCAGAGTTTCGGGCCAAGGAAGTCTAGAGTCAGGGTGCGCACGTTTAGCAGTGTCGGGCCTTGCTTGGCCTTCTCCGCAGCAAGGCTTGCGCTGAAAATAGGAAGTTCAAGTCGCGTTGCGCACGACTGGATTCACCATCTTAGCCACGGAACCCTGCTTCAATCTTGAGCTAATCGTATCAGAAACCAAGTCCGCCTTTAACGAACGGACTTAGCAGTCGCGACGGGAGCCTTGCAATGCGAAGGCCGCGAAGCATCATAGCAACTCGACTCTGAGCACCTGGACGTTTGGGGTTTCGAGCCTAGGCCTCGGCCTTGGGAGTCCCACGAGAGTTCGGGATTGAGCTTTAGGGTTCGGACTTTGCATTAGACTTTCGGGACCACCCGAACCTGTGCCAGGAATCTTCGTAACACAGCCCCAGATCCCGAGAATGATCTGGGCACTTCTCAGCATCGCTACATCATTCAAAACACCGGGATCCTTCCATGATTTGCACTGCCAGGAACATGCGACATCCCAACCCAGCACCCTCGGCCTCCACTGCCAGCTGAGAGGCTGATCACTGTCTCTACAACCGCCGTACCTCGCTCAATTTACAGGCTTTGTTGGTGTTGGGATGGTTTTCAGGTGCTGGTTTCGGCCGTGGGGTTCCAAGCTTGAGAAGGGGCTAGGGGTGTTGTGCTGTCGCACCTCAGCTGCTTAAGGTTCCAAGGCTGATGTCTAGGACATGACTATCAAACCTCTCTTCTGTCCATGATAGCAAAACAACGCAAAATCGCTGAGGTCCCAGACCCCAAAGCCGTTTAGCCCCGCAAGTCCCTGTGGAAGCTTGTTTCGGGGTTTGGGGCTGGGCGGTTTTCGGCGCTCACACTCGGACAATGCAAGCGAGGCTTGCGGGCGGTTTTAGGGTTTCCCGATTTGGGGCAATCGACAGCAACTTCAATCCCAAAAGCAAGCTGAAACTGCTAGGCTGGTGCTAACATTTTCGTTCCGGAGTTTCTCACCGTCGACCTCGTTTGCCTTACGATTACCGGACCTGCAAAGCCCCTGAAGGTCACTTTTGTTGAGAAGCCCAGTTGCATCCTTTTGCAAGATGCGGGTAGGCAACACTTGAGCCTTCACCCGAAACCCTTCCATCGTACACCGCGAAACATTAACCCCACTGCCCAAATCCCAAATCAAGAACTATCAACCCCATACCTGCCTCAGGCCTCGACCCCTTCTGAAGTCCTACACTCTGAGTCAGCCTCAAGCCCTGAACCAAGATGCCGGATAAAGCCAAGTCGAATACGTTCCATCTGCCGAGGGGTCCGCAGAAGTATACAGCGGGCTTGAGAACGTACAGCTTGACAATGACCTCGTTTAGAGGGTTAGCCCGTTCGCTATTAATATTACATTCGAAACGTGTCATTTTTACGGAGGTTTTGTTTTATCGGTGCTAATTAACTCATCAGAAACTTACGACCACTACTATTGCTACTAGTGCTAGACACCAGCTGGCCTTTGTGACCCCCCTAACTTCCCGTTTACCCCCGCCCAGCGGGTGAGACATCTCCTATTGGATAAGGTTTGCGGTTTACGGAAGGCTTTCATGTTAGATACAGATTGAGGTTCAAATGGGGTTCCTATTAGATGGGGTCAGTTTCCTATTAAGTAAAGTCTTCCATAAGATAACAATTTTCTTTTAGATCGTGTTTTCCTATTCGATGTGGCTGTTACATTGGATGAAGTTTTCTCTTCGATAGGGTTTTGCGATTAGATAGGGCTTTCCGATTAGATGAGTTCCCTAGTAGACAATGGTGAAAGGAATTCTCATCAAAAATGGATTGGCTTGGGTAGTTCGCCGCCTGCCTTACTACAGTCCATGTATTAGGAGGAGGAGTAGTAGTAGTAGTAGTAGCAGCATTAATAGTACTGTAGTAGTAGTCGTCCTCGTCGTCGTCGTCCGCGGCCTGCCCCTCTAAAGGAATAAAGGAATAGTAGTTGTAGTAGTAGTAGTAGTAGTAGTAGTAGAAGTGGTAGTGGTAATGGTAATGGTAGTGGTAGTAGGTAGTAGGCAGTAGGGCAGTAGGTAGTAGGTAGTAGGTAGGTGTAGTAGTAGTAGTAGTAGTAGTAGTAGCAGTAGCAGTGCTAGTAGCAGTAGTGGTGGTTGTAGTCGTAGTAGTCGCATTAGTAGTAGTAGTAGTAGGAGTAGGAATAGGAGTAGTAGTAGTAGTAGTAGTAATAATAATAATAATAGTAGTAGTAGTAGTAATAAGAATAATAATAATAATAGTAATTATAGTTAGTAATTATTGCTATTTAGGAATAAAAAAATAATAGCAATAAGAGTAATAGTAAATAAAGGACCGGATAACCCCACATGCAAACTTTTGTGAAGGAGTGAGAGTAAGTGTGCAAAGGGTAAGCGAGAAAAAGAGTAGCAAATGTTCGAACGCACCATTGGAATGTGATATCAGGAAAGGACGCTCTCTTGACGTACCTGTTTTGCGGATTAGCCAGTGGGCCCCTGAGGCACTGGAAGAGAAGTTATGTGACAAGCCAGCACAAACAGCATCCATCTAAGTAGGGATGACTGGCCTGCAAGTGTGTTTCCCGACAGTAATNNGTAATTCTGCCAAAGCGCTGTCGGACCCCCGGTCTGGGGGGGAATCTAGGAACATCAGGAACCCCTTGAATACATCTGGTTTTCCTATCGTATGAGCATTTAGTCCTTGAAGACCCACAAGCTGAGGCCCCAATGGCCGATGTAGCATTGGAACACCCAACTGGCCTGACAGATTGCCTTGACGTATGAGCCTTGAAATTCCGGGGACTCCCATGAAGAAGACCCCACCGATGACTCAGATTGCTGAAGCTTCCTTGGCTTTCAACACCCAGGCAGGATAGCTCCATGGAATACCCTTGACAAAGGAGCTCAGAGGTAGCGTCATCATCATTCAATCATTTAGCATTCCTGTACCACCCCTTCCGTTTGTTTTCCTGGCCTGAAACCATGGCAAGTTATCATTTTCATTTCCTACAGCAAGACCGACAACTCGGTCAACGGCCATCGACAGCGTATCCTACCAGTTCTCCAGACCAATGTCAACTTGTAGTACCTGTTCAAGAATCAGATCTTTTGCAGCGTACAGCATCTTTTCAAGAACCAGGTCGGTTGCAGCCTACAGTATCTCTTCAAGAACCAAGTCTTTTGCAGCCGTCAGTATACCTTCAAGAACATCAAGAACCAGGTGTCTTACAAGTTTCTGCACCTCGTTTTTCACGTTCTGTTCGACCTAGTCAGGCCCCACATGTTCTACGACCGACTTGTTCACAAGCAGAGTCTTTGAGAAGTAGTTAAACAGTACAACTCTAAGCGGTCACGCTTTACTCTTGAACCACAAAAGGCGCTGCGTCGTAGCCATGCGTTTCATGGGCTCCAACAAAGGTGTGGGATACTATACAAAGCTATACAGGTTCCTATCTAT